AGCGCACAGGCGAATTGCGTCCCCCAAATCGTGGTCCTGAGCGGCTCCCACGACTCCCCCAACACCACTCGTTCGAACATTTGCGTCACAAATTTTTAATCCTGTGGGTTGTGTCACGTGGCCCAGCGGCCAAATTCACACCTCGCGGGACTACTTATGTTTTCGTAAACGTAGTCATGGCCCCCCGCTGCGTCGCACGAGTGTGCAACTGGGTAGCGGGGGGCTATCAGCTCGCGCCGTCGACACGGCACCTCCGGTTTGATCGCCCCTCAGTGGAACAAGAGGCCGGCGGGGCCTGGCCCAACATCCTGCACTTGGGCGATGGCGTGGACAATCGCGGTCACTTCCGACGAGAAGTCGATGCGAACGCTGTCCATGTCCGTGTCAGGACTGAAGGTGACGGTCATGGCGAGGCCGGAAGGGTGGGTGGCGCCCGAACCAGACAGATCGCCGATGCCGACTTGCTTCTTGTTCGCGTGGATGATCGCAGTGAGGCCGTTCTCGGCGGCGACGCTCTCGATCTCGCCGTCGGCAAAGGCGACCTCAACGGTGGTCCAGGGCGTGCTCGAGTACGCAAAGAGTTGCATCTTTTGCCCGTCCTTGCGTCCAACGATCGTACCGTGCGTGCTGGTGCTCGCGAGCGAGCGTCCCGGGCTGTCACCGGACCATTCGTTCGCCGTTGCGCGGCGTCGGCTATTCGGGTTGTTCAAGGCCCAGTACTGCGCCAAAAGAACGGCGTCTAGGAGGCGGACATCCCCATCGCCGTTAAAGTCACCCCCATTGCAAGGGGGGAGCTTTGTGACCCCCGGCGATGGGTTTGTAAACGATGATTGGTTAGCCCAGACCTGAGCTAAGAATGTGGCGTCAGCGAGACGAAATTCTCCATCAGCGTCGTAGTCAAGTTCATCGTCAGGGAGGCAGGAGGGCGCTCCGTCGCACGCCGCCGCCACGCCGCCAGGCGAGAGGCCGCCCACGTCGGCGCAAGTGATGCCGAGGCAGTCGTAGGTGCTCTCGAAGGCGGCCTTGACCGCCGCGAAGTCGGGGTAGTCGCCCTGGTCGTACAGGCCGAACTTCATCTCGTCGCTGATGGTCTTGGCAGCGGCGACGTTGCACTCGTGGACGAGGGGCAGCACGGCCGCCGTGAAGACGGCGCCCTCCGCCGCGTTCTTCTGCGACCGACCCGTACCCACGTCATCGTAGACCGGATCCGAGCCGACCTTGTACGCGTAGCGGAGCGAGCCCTGCACGAGCGGCACCGTCATCTGCTTGATGATCCTGTCGACGATGGGGCGCACGGCGGAGCAGTTGCCGTCCATGAGGTACGCCTCGCCCTTAGTGAACTCCGCGAGCAGCTCCTTGTTGACGTTCGACAGCCCCGTGCTCCCCGACTCGCAGGTGTCAAAGTTGGCGCACCGCTTCTCCGCGAGCCGGTAAACCATCTTGCCGGCCGAGCTGCCACCCACGTTCGGCCCCTCGAGCGAGCCGGCGTAGAAGGCGACGCCCTCGTCCCACGCGTGCACCGCCTTGTACTGAGGGCTGTCCGGCCCGAACGAGTCCGACAACTCGTTGCAGTTCAGACCGTCCGCGCAGTTCTCGCAGTCGTCGATCGCGTCCTCAAACTCGCGGATCACGTACATCCACACGTTCATGTACGCCGTCCCCTTCTTGACCGCCTCGATCCGCGCGGCGTCGCCGAGCGTGGCGAAGTTGTTCGGGCCGTGCCGCCCGCTGCTGAAGGCCATGTTGGTGCCGTCGAGGGCGGCGCTCACCCACTTGTCGGCGTAGTCAAAGTCCTCGTAGTAGTCGTAGAAGGCCGAGAAGGTCTTGTACGGGCAGCCGACGCAGCCGTTGTACATCTTGCCCTCGGCGCTGGTGGAGAAGCCCTTCATGGTGCGGAGCCCGTTGGGGGCCTTGCCCGACAGCCGAGTACCCGCCCACGGGGTTACAGGCCTCGGCCC